TTGAAAATTTTTAATAATCTATAATATATCCTAGACAGATAAACCGTCTTCGCTCAGAATCGTTTTTGATATACAATAATATAATATCATTGGATTCAAATTTAATTCCATCCATTACAGTAACCCACTTGTAACCTACTGTACAGCAGAGCGGCATCCACGACTTACCCGCCTTTTTTAAATTTAACCTATCAGGAAAAATGTTGTTAAAGAAAATTAAAGCAATTTACTGTCCCAGAGTCGATGACAGGCACAAAAAAAAAACACATATGCATTGTAAAATCAATACATTAGGTAATCGCTCAAAATCTAAAACGATAAAAATGAAATGGAGACTAACAAATTCAGAAATTTAACTAGAAGTCGTGAAAATCATAATAATTTCTTAATTATGAGATCTCCTCAATAAATAATAATAAAAAAAAGGTTGTTTTGTTACTGGGTAACTTATTACCTAACGTTATCACGAACTGATGTAAATAACTTAAGTAGGTACCTACTTGGGTACTTTTATCACATAATGTCATAATACCTATTCTTACCATACACTAGGGCAGCGGTTCCCAAACTTTTAGAATCGCGGAACCCTTAGGAAATAGTTTATATAATATTTATTTAAAAAAATGTTCTAATGATAATCATAAAAAAATTAYAATGAATAAAAATTGATCGATTTTTTTCTAATGGTAAGGTTTAGAATAATTAGGTACAAGGTACCTATGTGCTATGTGACTATATATATGTTTCTATAACATAATATTTTGACTTTCATCGTACTGTACCTTATATAGTAGGTAATATATTAATTTATATTATAAAATTATAACTGAGCTGGTATAAAATATCAATGGTATCTATAGTATCTACATGAAATAAAGTAATAAACTCACAAAAATAAAATTCAATATCGATTTAAATAACTAATTTAGTTAAATTTAATACACTTTGGTTCTTCACCATTCTGCACCAATATAAAGATCACTCGTTACTGAACATTTTAAATTGTAATAGAATGATTAGGTACAGACATCAATCGACAGTTGGGCGTCGTTCAAAACCACTTAACCACACACTCATCATTCATAACCGCAAATTGTGCACCGTTTAATACAGCACAAATTTATTTTCTATTGTTATAAAGGGAAATTTGGAAGGTCAATAATTCAAAACCTCATAGGTACATTTGATTAACAATAAAAAATAAAAAATAAAATGTTATTATACAAATCATCTTAGACATAATTCAATATACATAGGATTTTATAATTTTAATATTAGTTTAGCAAAAATTAAATGTATTTWAAAATAAGACAATATAATATATTAAGATAAAATAAGTAGATATGTGTAGCAGATAATACTTTAATTAACCTCCTCCATGAAGCAGTAGGTCGTGATCCAATCAATATTGAAAAAATTCTGAAATATTTAAAATCTACCAAATTATATAACCTCATATGAAATGTACTAAATTTAAAACACGTTAACCCTATTTTTTTAATAAGTAAACTGTAAAGCCAATAATCTGTGTAGTTGTGGCTCATCCAAATAATATTTAAAAAAAAAATACTTTAATTGGAACAAATTTACATTCTTGTGTTTTCAAATACCTATTCTTATTAAATTAATGTTTCATTGCTAATGCAATGTTCATATAAATTTAAAATAGCTTTTTCTTTATCCCTTCATAATTTTCGAGTACAGTTAAGTATCATTATCTTTTCGTTTAAGTCGAAGTTGATTTTCTGTAATCTTCAATTAACCAATATAATTACTCAAAATATATTTGTTGAACACGCATATATCATGGTTAAATTATTTATATTATTGTTATGAACATTTTAAACAAAATATTGAACATAAAATATGATAAACGTGTAAAACCTTTTTATTATAGGAACATCCGATTTCCATATTATAGGTATCATAAAAATTCGCAGAACTAAAGCATCGTTGTCCACGTTTACGACTGTTTTTATGAATAAATAATAAATATGTCTAAATTATATTATGCTCAATAGTCGATGGCAATTAATTGGGTAAATACAATTTAAAAATAGCTATAAAATTAAATTAAACTATAAAAAAATAATTATGACATAAACATATAAATATATATATATTTAAAATATTACAAATAAATATACCAAAAATCGTTAACCATTTTCTTTAGGATGCCGTGACTCGTGAGTCAACAAAGTTGGAAGTCTATATGGACTATATGGAGCCTATGGACTAGTGATAATAGTGGTCAGTGGGTATATTTTTATTCTTTATGTTTATTTACTATAAAATAATATGTATTTATGGTTGATTATAAATGAAGAGCTGTCGTCCTGTCGGTGCAGCTGCGTTCTCAGAAAAACTCAGCTTTGCTTATTTGTTTAGGGAAAAAAATCCTACACAACAAAATTTGATGTTCCATAAAATGCTCTAAAGTGTGTTCATAATAAATTATAATTCAATTAATTTTATATTATCTATCTCGACATCTGGAGAAACTTCAAGTCGATATTTGGTAGGTAAGTAATAAGCACTAATAACCATATTATACAATTAACATTATTGCCAATTGAAAACAAATAACAATAATAACAGTATTATAGGTATCTAATTTTATTTATCTGATGATAATGTATACCTCTTTCGATGGCTGCTGAACACATTAACCACAAATAAGTACCTATAATATAATTTACTGTATTATAGTGTTTATAGTGTTAACACGTCGTTCAACAAGTATTTATTGAAAAAATATTTCTAAAATATCTAAAAGTGAACCAGATTTAATTAATTTAAAATGTAAAGATTTCTTTCCCTATACATAATATTTATTCAAAACTGGTTTATTATTAAGAATATTTTTTTGTCTAAGATTACCTATATAGCTTGTTATCTGGATCCCTCTAAAAGAGCACAAGATAATGGACCAATATACCATAATTTCTATATTGAAATAATTTGCTGATTTTCAAAAGTTTGTTGTTATCACCATGGTTTTTTATTCAGCAACAATTGTTACTGTACATATAATTGTTTCCACTTTTCTTAATCATAAAAAGAATTGTAAATCTCTCTGGTACAAGAATTAAATATGAATAATATGTTTAAAAATATAATATATTAAATATTAATTTTTATCAAATTAGGTATCAGTACAGAAACAAAACAAATAACTTTGGAAAGTTAAATGTAAGTAACTACCTATAGGCTATAACACAGAATATATTTTCATATAGTCTGTGCCTATAATCTTATGAACACGATTATAGGCGAAACTAGAAAATTGTATTAGGACAGGCGACAGGCCAAATGAAAAATATGAAAAAAAATCTAATTAGAAAAATAAGTTTTTTTATTTAAATTTTAAATTTTATTATGTCAGTATATTATGATTATCCAGTTAGTATTAGGTCAAGCCGTGACCCGTAGTTTTTCCAATGTACACGTTATTAACAGGTATATTAAACAATCGTTAAACAATGAACATCTCGTCAATCAGACAATCAATGCATTTTATCAGGTCATCATCGACATTATCAGCTTATGGTCAATGTTATCAGCTTATCACTGTCGTTATCAAATTATTATCAAGGACGACGTCACCGTCTGTCCGCATGACATCGACAAGCGTCAAGCATTGAAGCGTCATCGCAGCGGATTGTCATTAATTCGGATTGTTAAATTTGTTATCCAACTATCCGTTCCTTGTGTTCTCCATCGTTGACACACTCTAGAAAAAAGACGCCGATGTGGATCTTCATCGGTTGACGTTTCAGCTGTACCTTTTTTCTCTATCAGCGACCTCCATAGTGAAGAGACTGTTCAAACATCAACATGTATCTAAAAACATGGAAAGAATTTGAGACCGCCTCATACAATTTACTCCTTAAAGATCCGACCAGGGTGATTGTTRTTTTATTATATTGTTAGGAGCATAATGTTTATCACTTCTACCGCGCGCTTTGCTGTTTAAGCATTAGCCTATAGCCCTGCTTTGGAAATATATATTTCCGGTGGTAAAAATAAAACAGTTCATTACCTTTCCATCTTGTTTGTTTATAAGTTCTACTATGTTGAAAATTGCATTTGTATCATCTGTATTATTGTATTTTAAAATACTGAGTGAAATTTTATTGTTTAACAGTAAATTACGTTTTTAAAATTTATTTTCAATATAATTTACTTTTGTTTATTATTCATATTCATTATCATTAAATATTTTTTTCATGCGATTAGTTATTATGATCAATATTTATCTGCTAGATATGTGTTTTTCGGTTATTATATTGTTGGTGTGTTTCCTTTGGCTAATGTTGAACTTACAGACTTGCAGTTTGTAATAATTTTCAAACTATTGATGATATCATAATTAAGTTACAACAAATTTAAATGTTTTCACTTGCTATGCTTTTATCTTAAAATTTAAATGAATCACTTAAACTATTTCATGATAAGATTATTACTGCGACTAATCAATAATTACTAGGTATAAATTTTAGTTTTGTAAAAGAAGAATATTGAATTTCTTAATTTGATATTCATTATTTCCATTTTAATTGACCATGGAGGAGAATTATTGATGTTTTTCACATTATCTTTTTTCATTTGATTTTGGTTTTTTATTTTAAACACCACATATATTTATATCTGTTTTAATTAAGTACCTATCAAATATTATTTTTACTAAATCACTTTTACAATACTTATGAGTTATGAGTAAACATAAACATTTCTACTCTTCCAGGTATAAGCTATGTTGAATAAAATAATAAAATTATGATTTATAGATCTAAAACCATTATATATAATCATGATAATCTTGACAATTCTCTTGGAAATAATTTATTTTTAAAACTAGTTAAAATAGCCATTCTTATTATAAATTACACATATACTCATATACTAACTTTTTTGTTATTTAATTCTTGCAATTTTTATTTTTAGGTCAGATGCACTATGAAATATTGTCATACTGAAGCAATTGTCCAATTAAAAGTTACAGATGATATTTCGGTAACTAACTACATTATATTATATACTTAACATTATTAACAATTAAATTATGATGTTTTATATTTATAATAAATACTTGAGGTTTAAATTTGACTGCCTTCATTTTAAATTTTTTTAATAATAAATAATATATTTATGATATTCCTTGGTATTTTTTAATTTAATTTTTATAGAATAAATATTATATATATCTTGTTTGATAAATTTATACCATCAAATAAATATGTATACATAAAATTATATATATATTTATAAAACAAATTATTTCCTTAACATTTAATAATATGTATTTTTGTTTTAGTGCTTGCAGTTTAAAACTTCAGATATACAAAATGTAAAGAAAATCGAAGTATTTTATGCTACAATTATGAAACAAATAACATCCAATGAGCTTTGAAAATTGAATCAAAAAATATTTATTTTAATTGTGAAAGTATTTAAAATGTATRATTATCAAAATACTTATTGTTTTAACATCAAAATATACGAAAAAAAGTATATAAATCATAAAATGTAAGAACATTCCAAACGAAAACACTTGATACCATATTAGATATTATGTTGCCTTATTATTTGATGATGTAATAATTTTGAGTTATTATTCGAGCTAGGAATTTGATACTTTTAAAAACAGCAACATTGTGCTCAAAATAAAATGATTCAATTTGTAATTTTGTTGTCATAATGAAATTAAAAAATGTATTTTAAATTAGATTTATATTCAAATGCTTTGTAAATACTAACTTCATTTCACTGATTTTGAATGAATAATACAAACATTTATAAATAATTAACTAATTTATTATTTTGTTTACCTAGTTAGCTTGGTAATCTTAAGACTGAATATATTTTCTTGAAATATGTTTAAAATAGAAAATTATGCCAGTATCTCAATGTCTACTTAAAAAATATGTCTTATCCTCATTGTTACCGCCTGACTAACAGGTAACATACTTTACATACTATATTTAAAATTAGCATAATTTACTATTGGTACCCTATTATTTTTCATATTAAAACGACAATTGATTATTTTAAAAGTAAGAATATTATTTAATATATTTAACTATGTAAAAAGAATAAATAATAACAACCTATTAGACGTTTGAACTGCTTTTTTAAAATCACGGATCGGCTAATATATAATAATATGTAATAATTTATAAAAATAATAAGTGCTTACATAAATAATTAAATTATATTGTGGTTCTATGTATTTTAGTACTTAAAAAAAAAAGTTATTTTACAAAATTTTGTTTTTGTTTATCACAATTTAGTTGATATACTTCTTACAATCTTTCAATTTGTCTGTGTAATCCTTGGAGTTTTTATTTAGTACTCAAAGTTTAATAATCAAGAGATTTGCTAGAAAAAGTTATTAGTAACACCACAGATATATTTAATAAATTTTATTTGTGAGTAACACAAAACTAATAAATTCAGAATAGTTCATYTCGGAATCTAAAATATGCCTTTAAATATTGATCTACAATCAAAATGAACAATTCTATTAAATTAAAAATAAATATTATATATTACAATTTTATATCTATATGTAATAAATATATTAATTTAATACTATACCTATAATAGTAATACTGTTATAACAAAATAATTCTTACTTAACACTGTTTTACTGTTAAATAATTATTTAAATTTAAAATTATGAAGGAAACATGAGTCAAATATTTAACTGGAATTTTTAAGATAATAAAAAATGTTGGTACATTGTTTAATTTATCATTGAATGTTTTATGTATGTTATAGATATTGAGTGCCGACTACAAATGTTGTATATTATGATTTTTATTCAAATATTTCTATATAATTAATAAGACACATAAAGCAGGGGCGAACTGAGGCCCTGAAGGCCCAGGTGGGCATAACTTTTAAAACTACCAGACAAGAGACTCATGTTACAATGTTTATTTTAAATAAAATAACTTTTTAAGGAACTTATAACAAAATGAAAAAATTCTGTAGGTTTATACTTAACTAAATTTAACATAGTAAAATAAAACAAATTACTTCTATATTAAAATTTTAGATTTTATTGATTTTACAATGTGTGTGTGTGTGTGTGTTTTTTTTTTTATGTTAGTTTTTGTGTCTGTGTACAGCATAACTAGTCGAAATAATGCTTCAATTTCAAACTTTGGGGGTGGTTTCCGATGTATAAGTGAATATCCTTGGTGCATTATAGAGGTCAAAAGTAAACATTTTCCAACA